GTGAGAGATGGATAGATTATAAAAGAAACTGTAAGACAAATGTTGGCACTTGGAAGAATTGAAAAATAAGAGAAAAGGGAAGAATTGAGAATTGAGATCTATTCATTCAACTCAATTCACATACAAGCAGTCTGATAATCACGGTCTTCCCTCTCACAGAGCTCAATATCATAAAAGAAACCAAGCTTACTGGTCAGATCGAGACTGGTGGGTACCCCCACCCCAAGATTACGGCTCTTAGTCCCACTTCAGGTCTGGATATGACCTCACTCCTGTGCTAAAATAATGAACAATTTAAGATCAAAAGGACAGCATTTACCCAAAGATAAAGTTCAGAGGTTTCAGAAAGAAGGAGGAATAAAAAGAGGAAGCACGGGGAAGAAACAATCTCACTGATGGTGCCTTTCAGGGACTTCAGGGCATGAGATGAAAGGTGTATGAAACACTGAATGTACAACGGATGATCTGCTTGGTAAATGTTGATCTCGTGCACTACTTTTTTCTTCTTCTTAATGTTCTTATCCTCTTTCTTCTAAGTATGCCATATAGGTGCTTCTCTAACTTTAGGTTCATCCCCTATGGCTCCCCATACAAAGGTTCAGTTGCCTACACGCTCATCCAAGCCAAATCATCCTCTTGAACACTGATACTAATATCCTCGGTGCCAAGTCATCAGTTTTTTTCTTTCTCTCCTGCTTAATTTCCATAAACATAAGCACATGCTACAATGTCTACTGCTGCTTTTTATTTTAACTTCCTCTCTGCCACCACCCCGCCATGTGACTGTTGCAGTTCCCTGTTCCCTTCTTACAACCTAAGAAAAGGATCTGTCTTCGCTGTGACCGTTTCCTTATTCCCTGCTCACTCACATATACATATCCGAATCCAGTTTGGGGGTGCAGCCTCCCTGAAAGCCTAGGTAAGGAAGTCCTCAGTCATCTCCTTAGAGCAAATTCCAGGAACTCGTCAGAGTCCTCCTTTTTCTCAGGCTCATAGCAACAGTGATGTGATTGACCACATCCTTACTGAAATGCTTTCTGCTTTGGGATTCCGGAAAGCCACACTTGATTTTCCTCCCACCACACTGAATAGTCCTTCCCAAGTTCCGTGGCTGGAACCTCCCCCTCTTTTCTCTCGATAAAATCATATGGGGCTAAGTTGAGTGTCTCACTCTCTTCTCAATTTTTTGGTACTTCCTCATGAATTATCCCATCCACCTTCATAGCTTAGGAGACCACAAGAGGAATTCTCAACTGTAAATTTCCATTCTCAAACATTCCCCCAAATTCAAGATCCCTACTTTCAAAGTCCCAGAAGATACCTCTTAACACGCCCAAACATGCATTCTTGATTTGCCCCACAAACCTACATCTTCCCCAATGTTGCTCAGTTCCGTTTAGAGCACCATAAGTCACCCAATTGCTTTCGCCACAGATCTCACAATTCACCTCCCTTACATATCCCACCTCTTTATGCGGTTAGGCTGTATTCAAAATAAATCTAGATCCATTTCTTTCCTATTCTGCCATGCCATCCTGGTCCAACTCATTCTTACATTTCAGTTAGAACCTTGAAATAACATCCCACACGGTAGCACTCCTACTGCCTATTACCACCACTCTCATCCTCACATAATCTATTCTCCACATTACACTCACATTCATCTTGGTAATTTCACAAATCTTCATCCCTAGAGTGAATCCCAGTGTGAAGAACATAGCCCCATCACCAAGCAGCTCCTTGGCTTCCAACAGCTCTGACTGGCCACCACTTTGGTGTCGATCCATCCCCCTCCCTTTGATAATCTTTCTCTCAACAGGCCTTTCAGTGGACTCAGATTTCTAAGTGTTGGGTTAGTCACTGAGCACATTAGCCATGTACACCACAAATACATTATTTGTTCAAAAGTTGACTTCTTAAAACTGTTTGAACTAAATTTATCGAATTAAAAATGAAATTTATCTGCAAACTATTCCCGTAGACTTAAAAATGCCTCCTCAAGCTGATGATTGGGGCACGAAAGATTTAACAGCAGTCCTGCAATTCTTTTGTTATTTGAACATTATTAACTCACAATATAAATCACACTATGTTTTTCCATAGTAAGAGAGAGTTAAAAGATAAAGAAAATTTCTTAGTGCATATATTTTATTTCTAGTGAAAATCGTTATATAAATTTTTAAGTCAATAACTGGTTTTAAACCTTTATGTGGTTATTGATATATAAAATGTTCTAGAACATTTAAAATCTGTAGAAAGAGAAGATGAAGACTCTCAATAATATCAGTCTGAACAAGGCCAATGCTTGACTGTGGAGCAGACCAACAATTGCTCAGATGCAAGTAAAAGATGAAGCTGAAGAAAATTAAAACAAGTCTATGAAGTCAAAATACAACCTTAAAGCTATCCTGCCTGAATTTAGAGACCATTTCAACAAAAGATTTCTTAAACATCAGTCTCAAAGATTAGTATAATTGTGGATTGCATGAAGAACATCATATGAAAGAGGGGGAAAAAAGAAAATACCAAAATGGATGTCACAAGAGATTCTGGAACTTGCTCTGGAATATAGAGAAAAAGATGTCCAAAAATAAAGAAACTATTTGATACTCCTCACTTAAAAAAATGAATAAAAATTCAATTCTTGGGTTCCAATATTGAAGGATTCTGTGGGTAAAATGCTGAATTGTGTAGGAAGCATCACGAGAAGATAGAAATGAACAGAGATAGTCACTAAACCACACATTTGAAAAGTCCATCTCTAAGCAGCTCGGCGGTAGCATATGCTGAAGTATGGATAGTATTAAAGGAAGAAGTCAAACTGGGATTTCTTGGTATTGGAGAGAAGCAAGACTCCAAGAGTTCACAGAATACTGACCTGCTGTTCATTTTTTTTCTCAGATTGAAATTTATATCTGATGTATTTTGTCATTGGGGGTAGCCCTCTTGAATGTTTGTTTTATTCTTTTGTTTTCTGCATATGACACCCAAGATTAAAGAATCTATGGAGATAACAAGTAAAATAAGGTTCCTGTGGGGTACAGTGGGGGGAAGAGGAAAAATGGGAGTTGCTATCAAGGAGTTCAAGAAGGAAGAGAAAGTTTTGAAACTGAGTGTGGTAGCAATTGTATGATACTGCTTGATGTGATAGAACCATGGAGTGATATGATAGCTGTATTAGCTCCCAATAAAATGGTTTTGAAAAAACTGTTTAAAGAAATAAGTGATGCAGACCTGGAGGCACTCACTTGCTCGTGCCAAGAAATTTGGAGACAGCGACCCACTGGGCCAACTGACTGGACGTGATCCATACTTTGTCCTTTCCAAAGAAAGGTGACTTAAGAGAATGTGGACTTTTCACACAGTAACATTAATGGAACATGCAAGTAGTGTTTGAAGATAATTTTTAACTAGTTGTAGCAACAGATCAACAGGGAGATGTGAGAAAAGTGAGCCAAATTCAGACGAGAACGTGAAATAAGGGGTGTCGTGACTGACACAGGCCAGATCTGGGCTGCGCAAAGAGACTCCCAGAAATATGTTCCCACGCGGTTTCTTGACCATGCGCAGGCATTCAATGGTGTGGCTAGCAATCTGTGGATGATATATGAAGAATGGAAATTCCAGAACACTTCATTGTACTCCGGCCTCACCGGTACATAGATTAAGAACCATTCATCAAAACAGAGCAAGGAGATCGTGTGTGGTTTAACTCAGAAAAGGTGTGCATCAGGGCTGCTTTTTTTCAACACATTTGTTCAGCCTGTATGCTGAGGAAATAATCCGGGAAGCTGGATCCCATGAAGAAGAACGTGGCATCAGGGGTGCACATGATATAACCTTGCTTGCCTGATTAACAACTTACAATATGCAGATGGCAGAGCCTGTCTTGCTGAACGTACGGAGGCCTTACACATGAACATCAAAACCAACATTCTTCAGTAAGGATTACACTGAGAAACAGAGAAACAAAAATTCCCACAAGTAGAGCCATCAACAAAACCATGATAAGTGGAGATAATATTGACATTTTCAAGGATTTATTTAACTTTACTTGGGTTCACAACGAACACCCATGGAAGCAGTAGGTAAGATATCAAATGACATATTGCATTGGGCAAATTGCTTCAAAAGACCTCTTTACAGTGTAAAAGGGCAACAATGGCTCTGTGAAGACAAAGGTGCACCCCTGCAGGTCATGCAAGCCTTGGTATTTCCATTGGATCAACCGCAGGTGAAAGCTAAACAATGAATTACAAAGAAGGAAGAAGAACTGATGTCGTTAAATTATGGTTTGGGGAAGCATATCGAATATGCCACAGACTGCCAGAAGAATAAACAAATCTGTCTTGGAAGAGTGCAGTCAGAACGCTTCTTAGAAGTGAGGAACGCAAGACTTCGTCGCCTATCCTCGGGACATAGCCTAAGGAGCGGCCCTCGGGGAAGAGCATCATGCTAGGGAGAGGGCCTGTCGTGCGTGGGCCGAGGACTGACCCGGCAGAGGCAACGATGGTCTCAACCACAGGAATGCTGACAGGACGACAGGGGAAGGGTCCGAGTGTCGTCCGTTTTATACAGGGTCACTCCGGGCCAGAGCGGGCTCAGCAGCACCTAACGACAGCAACAGTTACTTGCTTTATAAATAATCTTACAAATGACTTACCTGCAAATAGTCCTGTGTTCTTACCCTTAATTATAACTGTCCCTAAAGTTCTCCTGAATTTCAGAGGGTAATATGTTTTCAGTTTGATGCTCTAGGGCATATACTCATATTCTTGGGAAATAACACTACCCTTTAAAAAGGATTTAATTTTGAAACTTCCAAATACATGAAGATAAAGGGTTTCTGAAGTCCATCTTTCATTGACATAGAGAACTCACTGGGCAAATCTTTTACGATATCAAAATGCCCACAGTTTTGAAGTTAGATATTTAACAAGAGACTAGAACGCGGGTTCTATAATCCCAGCACTGGAGATGACTAAGCTTTCAGTACTCACAGGCTTACCATCTTGACCAGGCTGTCCAGGGTAGCCAGCAGTCCCAGGCAGTCCACGCTCACCCTGCAGAGGAAAACACTTCTCAGTACAAAACAACAAGCCACACTGGTAAAGCCCGGACTCACCAAGAACCAAAGCCAGTTCCAGTATGTTCAGGGTTTTTAAAATATAAATACACATAATAAATCTTAAAATAAAGTTGTAAAATTATGCATTGTTTTTTAAAAAATCATTTGGGGGTGTGGCTCTTACAACTTTTTTGTTGCTATGACAACTTTTATAACAATCCATACATCCATTGCGTCAAACATATTTGTACATGGGTTCCCATCATCCTTTTCAAAACATTTCCTTTCTACTTGAGACCTTGGTATCAGTTCCTCTTTTTCTCCATCCTCCCTCCCCACCCTCCCTCATGAACCTTTGATAATATATCAATTATTTTCGCATCTTATACCAACCGCTGTCTCCCTTGCCCAACATTTCTGTTGGTTGTCCCCCTGCAGTGGGGGTGGGGGTGAGGAGTGTTATACATCGATCATTATGTTCAGTTTCCCCTTTCTCCCCCCACCTTCCCCCGACCCTCATGGGATCACTATTCCAATGATTGTTCCTGAGGGGTTATCTCTCCTAGGTTCCATGTGTAGAGTTCTTATCTGTACCAGTGTACGTGCTCTGGTCTAACCAGATCTGTAAGGTATAACTGGAGTCATGATAGTGAGGGGGAGGAAGCATTAAAGAACTAGAGGAAAGTTACATGTTTCATCAGTGCTATACTGCACCCTGACTGGCTCGTCCCTTCCTTATCACCATTCCGTGAGGGGATGTCCAATTGTCTACAGATAGTCTTTGGGTCTTCACTCCACACAGCCCCCCACCCCCCTGCACCCCGTTCACATGGATATGATTGTTTGTTCTGGGTCTTCTGGTGCCTGATATCTGATCCCATCGACACCTCATGATCACACAGGCTTATGTGTTTCTTCCATGTGGACTTTGTTGCTTCACAGCTAGATGGCCACTTGTTTATCTTCAAGCCTTTAAGACCCCAGCCGCTACGTCTTTTGATAGCCAGGCACCATCAGCTTTCTTCACCACTTTGCTTATGGCCCCATTTTGTCTTCAGCAATCGTGTCGGGAAGGTGAGCATCAGGTGAGCATCACAGAATGCCAGGTTATTAGAACAAAGTGTTCTTGTGTTCAGGTTATTAGAGCAAAATGTTCTTGTGTTGAGGGAGAACTTGGGTGGAGGCCCAATGTCTGCCTAATAATGTTAAAAAATTAAGGTTTTGTAGTGTATGAAATATTTCATAATTTATTTCTGTGAGCCCAAAAAGTATATAAACTGAAGCATGTTGCATTGATGTAAATTTTTCAATATTTAAGGACGGATATATTTTTAGAATTTTGATCAGCATGGGGAGACATAACATATTTGATTTCATTGGCAGCAATAATTCATGCATGAAAATTCCTAGTCTGATTCTAAATTCTAATTTTCGGACTTATACCACAGACATGTCCACATGTAGTATTTCAACTCAAAAGATAATTATAAATAGTAATATCATCTACAAATCATGTGATCTCTCAAGAGGACTCAAGGTTAAAGCTACATGACAGACGTTTTCTTTCAATGTTTTTGAGTCCCTGGGGCTACAGTTATCATTTCAGTTGTAAATAATGTTAAAATTCTAAAATGTGGCTATTTTTGTAAGGGGGGAGTACAATTTAAACAACTCCGCGGACACATCTCATGGGAAAACAAAGAAAGCAATGTCAGCCACCACTATCAGCAAACTTCTGCCCAGAGGCAACTGGTTTCAAGTAAATAATTCTCAGTTTCAGTAGGAATTCACTCCTAAGGGACCCCAGTGATTACATGTGACACAATGCCAATGTTAAGAGTACAGCCAAATGTGCTGATCTGAAATACTACTTCAGGTTACTGGCTAGAGAGATGAGTTCCTGAAGCATCACAGGAAAAATGGAAAGAACTATGTGAACCTACTAAAGAGCCAAGAAAGACGGGATGGGCTTTTTACATGGAAGCTGCCCTTCAAACAGCCAAGCATGAGGCGAGGTTGAGCAAAAGGGAAGAGTCGTTTTCAAAATAAATATAGAGAGAACAGCTGTAGGACAAAGGCGACAATGCTGAAAATATATAATGCATTTCAGAAGAGATTTGATTGCTCAGTCAAATCCAAGGACTACCTGTGTCAGCTGGGCAGGGAGGGGCAACATTCAGGGGCATAAACTACTCTTCTATTTTTTGCAAAGGACCCACCCGAATCTCCAGACTGCCCTGCCATCCTTCTTCATCCATGTTCATAATTGGGCTTCCAACAGAGTCCACCTTTCCTTTTTACTAGGAGGAAATGTTCCGTCCTTTTCACTCAGGGGTTAATAACGTCTTTGCATCTACCTTCTTCCGCTGTTTTTTGTTTTGTTTGCCTGGCCTCTTACTCCAGTGAAATGAGAGAGCCGCATCTGTATCACTGATCAGTATGCATCAACTCACATTCCCTAACAGCTTCCCGTGGTGAGTCTTTATCCATAATTTGAATGAAGGCGCCATTTTCCACCTCTTTAACACAATGCTGGGCACCAAGCCGAGACTCAATAACTGTCAGCTGATCGATTTATTTCAAATGAAAGCTCTCATAGACAATCCATTTTCTTCAAGTATATTAATTATCAGAAAAATCTGGGACAGCAGAAGGATCTGGTCCAATTTTGTCTCTATTCTCAGTCTGAACTGACTTGCCAGCAGCAGGTATGATTTTTGGTTTTTTTAATAATAAAGCTGAAATAAAGTTTCTGGCACAAGAAGAAAAGGGACTCATGTGTGTGTTTTTTTTTGTTTTGGGGGGTATTTTTGCTGCTTGAAAGTACAAGACATACCAAAAATTTGTGTGTTAAATTAATCAAAGCATGTTCCCAAGAGAAAATCATCCACAGATAAATATAAATCCCATGTGACTTCATAAGTACTCTAATACTGCTCAATGGTCCACGACGTCAAATCAGTTCTGTTGTAGTTTTTATGATTATAAATGTTGCTGGTTGTTTTGTTTAGGGCCTTTTGCCCTGACGGAATTGTTTGCACGTAACTCAGCTAGACTTGGTGTCACTACAATACACTTGTATGCATACACTAAAGTTTAGCTAAACTGGCTGGAGAGAAGCGCCCTTTCATTCTGACATCCAATTTTTATTGTTGGTCATATGCTAACCCTTGCTCTAAGGGCTTTCTAAATATTGTCATCATACGTCACATAATTTACACATATTGTCATTATAATCCTATGAAGCCAGTGCTTTCCTTATTCTTCTTTTATATATCGGAAAAGCGAGCTCCAGATAGATTAGGTAACTCACTCAAGATCACACAACAGAAGTGGTGGTGAGATTTTATCTTAGCCTCTTCAGCGCTGAAGCACTTTGATCCTGGCCCTGGTTAAATACTCAGAGTTATCAGAGCCAGAATTGGTCATTGCTAGCAAATTTCACGAGGAAAATAAAATGTCCAAATCCATGAAATTAGACATGTGACATATTATTATTAAACTGTGACTTACTTTCTAATACATGTTATTTTCATTTAGTTGCAATATTTGCACATTTTGAATTAAAAAAATATGAACTCCACAGCAAAACAATGATTTATATTGCACTGAATTTGTGCCATATATGGTAGCTTTAAGCTGTTGACAGCAGTGGAAACTTCATGAACTCTGAATATGGGCCTTCAATTAGTATAAATATGAATAATTATATTTTTAAAGGGTTGACTTTGTAAGGTCTGTTACCTATCTAAGGCTGTCTCTGGTACCCTCCTATGACCAAATTTCACACTTTCCAAATACTCTTCTCAAAATCCTTATGTCCTCATGCTTTAACTCCACCTTCCACAGCAATATCTGCCCTGGGGGCTTTTCCATTTCCCCAAATCAGCCAGTTTCTTTCCTCAGAAACCAAATGCCTAATCTTTCAGGCTACAAGGAACATACTCCATGCATTTGGTAAATTAGCATCAGAACATGAATCCCAAATAGTTCCATGGAATTTCCAAAAGTTCTTGTATTTCAGAAAGAGGATTCCTGGCATTTCGAATGAATCTTTAACTGGTAGAATTATTAGGATGAGGCACAAGACAGAAGCAATCAGAAGGCTAAAGAGAAGATATTTCAGAGCAAAGGCTTATTAGAAATGGTTTCCACCTTAAAATTTTTTTCAACTTCTGAACTGATATATCTAATGTTTGTCTAGATAAAATGTGGGCTGGGAGAATTTGTCGACACAAATGTTCTTATGGCTATTGATGTGGGAGAATAAGCTGACGTTTTCATCTGAATTGTTTGCTGAAAGCAACTCATTTGTTGCTTAGATATTTCATATAGCGCAGAAACCTTCCATATAGGCTAAGTGGGGAGAGAAGGAAATCTTTTTATTTCTTAGTTGATCTCATAAATTGTTCGATATAAAATAATTCAAGTAAAATAGTCCATTAGACTTAGGAATTTCAGAGAATGTTGTCCCTATGAAGCTTCCGAGGGGACCCTAGCCATGCAGTGGTTTTGCATTGGGCTGTGACCCACAAGGTCCACAGTTAGAAACCAGCAGCTGTTCTACAGGAGGAAGACAGGGCTCTCTGTCCTATTCCTGGAAACAGTTATGATCTCAGAAACTCGGGGCATGTTTTACTCTCTACCACAGGCTCACTTTGATTCAGCATCAACTCGATGGCAGAGAATTGGATATTTTGGCTTGGTGGACAAATGAAGTACTCTCAATTTTTTAAAATGCAGAATTTATCATTTAATCACCTCCTACATATGGCATTAAGGACACAAAATGAATAAACTATACCTCCATGAACCCAGGGTAGTGACAAATATATTCTTGATATTTCATGAAGATTTATACTACCATGATAGATTTATACCTTGGGTGCCATATTTATTCCATCTGGCTTTGTGACAAGGCTATCAGATTTTTCAGAATATTTTAAACAAAGCTTGTCTTTTGTCTTGGAATAAAAAGCACCTACCTACCCACACAAGAACTCTATAAGTAGTCTCACGATTCAACACTCCTTTGCCCAAGCTTGGTTTTTGCCTAGCAGAAAGAACTAGATCTACTCTTCACAGTTGACTCTGGCCCAGTGGCATCTGAAACATTCCACAGCGCAGGTCACAAAGAGAGTTTGTAAGTCTGAGTTGGATCTAAAGCAAAATGGCCTTGCCTGCTGAAGTTCTGGTTCAGTTGATTTAAGGAAGGCCCTATCCATTTTCAAAGCCAGAGTTTCTCTGGAGGTAGTGCAGCACAGAGTGTTGCTAGGGCTTGTGTTTTTCGCACACTGGTTTCTGATTTGGGTATGGAACCACCTCCAGCGGAAAGAGTCCGACAAGGATGGAGGAGCCTGTGTGTGTTCCTGTCCTCCTGCCAGCGTTTCTGGAGAAAACGGAAAGCAGATGGTGAAGGTACGCCAACTTCAAGATTGGTGGAAAACTGCAATTTCACTTAAAGTAGTAGGTGGCAATGGGGGCTAGATGATGACTAAGGAAAGAGAATTGAAATGAGGAACGCATGAAGCTGGGAAATGTTGGTGATCAGAGGCTTACCAGATAGCGAAGTGTGTGCTTAGGGATTGCTGCAGAAAATGATGAGAATGAAATATGTATCAACACAAGAAGCCGGTTAGCCCACTAATGAAAACTGAGAAAACAGCAGAGGCTTCAGGTGACTCCTAAAATACAGAGCGCTTGTGTGAGTCCCTGGCAATGACCTGAGTCCCACTGAGAATCGGAGTTACTGTGGGGTTCCGAAAGATTAGACATCATGGTACTCGGATGTCTGCATTGTGTCCACATTTACATTTGATATGTTTGTCAGTCAACAGTCTTAGGTCTACTATTGTAAGTACAATAACTATATAAGTCTGTCTTAAATACAGTGTGCTTGACAGAGCATATTCAGCTTTCTTAGAGAGTATATTCTACTCTGAGAATCTTGTGGCTACTTCTTCCTTATGACAAAGCATCCTATATAATATGCAGTTATTTAACATGAGAAACATACATGAACTAACTTCTCTAACTCGAATCTAAAAATAGTGAGGATAATAAATTGATTCTAGTGCATTTTGTGAAATTAAAAACCAGATAGAGATTTGCTTGGACTGAGATATGGAATGTACACTTTCATTCTTTTTCATTGCATTTTTCCCTTGAAATTAACATCTAGACTTGCAGTAAGACATGAGCTATCATCACAAGAAAGTGGAAAAAGTTAGGCATACAAAAAAAGAAGAAGAAGACTCCAGTTACCTTAGACCAACAGAACAAACTTTAGATGGTGATTCAATGTTAAACAGAAAATTCCGTCTAAGTGATCACCATAACTCATACTTAACAAAAATTATTGTATCTCTAAGCAACTTTTGTAAACTTAAGAATTAAGATATTGACTTCAATATGGTTTTTAACAATCTTTAATCATTCTCACCAAATTGTAGGGAGGTATCATACTTGATTTCTAGCAACATTATTTGGGAGAAGAATAAAAATAACTAATAATGTCCCTTCAGTTTAAGGTAGGCTAGGGTCAACAGTTTTAGGTTCCAAAGACCAATGCAAATTAGAATACATAAATTGCCAAAACTCAGATTTAAAACGATTATCAGGCATTTGGCAGAAGCTTCACAACCAAGCCAATGGCAGATGAAGCATTCTGTGTAAGCACTGCTCCCACTTGTTGGAGCGCTTGAACAGAAACAGTTCAGGTTTTACTCACCTTGGGGCCTTGCAGCCCTGGTTTTCCTGGTGGGCATGTGCACGGAGCTGGAGTTGAACCTACATCACTGGGACCATTGAGGCACTACAAACATAAACATGGGGAAAAAAGAAACAACGCATGAATGGGGTATACATATATCGGTGTGGAGTCCCTGAATGGCGCAAAGGGTTAAGGGCTTCATGACTAGCGGAAAATGCAGCACGGTGAACCCACCTGGCAGGGCCAGGAAAAACAAGCCTGACAATCTCCTATCACTCACAGCCGTCAAAACCTTGAGGAGCCATTCCACTACATACACGTGTGGTCACGATGAGTCAGAATTGACTTGACAGCAACACGTATGGATAAATATGAGCTTGTATAGAATGATAAAGAGATCTCACGACTACTTTTCAATTTCAGTTCATTAACTCCACTAAGGTATTCTAAATTAAAGTTTTTCAAGTATGAACACTATATACATTCAAGCTATATATATATGGGGTTTATTTGTGTGATAAAGAGCCCTGATAGAATGTCAGGACTTCTAGTCACAAGGTCAGTGGTTCAAAGCCACCAGCCTCTCCATGAGTGAAAGATAAGCTATGTACTCTCTTCGATAGGTACAGCCTCAGAAGCTCTATATGGGGTCACTAGGAGTCAGAATTGACTCAATGACAGTCGATGTATTGGTCTAATATACTCACGGTGGATGAAGTTTCTCCAACAATCCCACAATGTAAATATTACCTTAAGGAGAATAATAATATCCAAGCCTACCTCTCCATTCTGAAAAAAAAAAGGGGGGGTGGGGGAGATGAGGGTGTTTCAAATTAAATTTTCAAATTATCTTTCTAATTTATAGATGTTATAGTCTAAGTTAAAGATACATGAAATATCAAAACTAGCAGAAACTATAGAATTCGTTTGTAATTATCCTCAAAAATAATTATGCATGCCATTAGTGTATGTGTAGTGGTATTGAAGGAAGGTCATTAAGGTTAAAAAAAAAAACAGAAAATGTAAATGTGAAAGCTGTTTGATAAGATATCCACGCAAGAACAAAACTAACCTCGGGTTTACTGTACATGTGCTCGTCAATATTCTAGACATACTGTAAAAGCCATCCTAAAGCCTAAGTAAGTACCTCTGAGTAAGTCACAAACCACGCGCGTGGCATCGCCATGCATCTGTAAGAGAGCTGCTCACTACACACTCATTCCTACTCCTCAGGCCCAGCTCACCTAGGTGATTAGTTCTTCCAAACAAACTCAAATTCGACCAGAAAAGGGAAACATGGGAATGAAGATGGCAAAAGTAAAAAAAAAAAAAAAAAGGACACATGAAATCACAGCACAGGTTATACAAGCAGACCCATCATACATCATAAAACGTGTATGTGAGACTTCAAAGCCTGCAATCCAAAGTGTGTTTTCATTATGTAAGGAGTCATGACACAGAACACACCATCCAGGCAGAGACATCGAGGCACACAATTAAAGCGTGTACAATGGATTCTGAGAATTCAGTGATTCATGAATACTTTTAGGAGAAATTTATAGTCCAAGATATCTCAGAATGAATCATTTCTAAAATGTTCCAGAATGACATTATATTTTTTTAAGTGCATTTTTCCCAGGAGCTCTGGCGGTATAACTAGCCATGCCCTGCACTGCTCACCAAAAAGTCAGCAGCTCAAAACGCACCAGTTGTTCAGCAGCAAAACGAGGCTTTCTGCTCCTCTCAGGCTTAGAGCTTCAGACCCCCACAAGGACAGTTCTATTGTCCCATAAGGTTGCCGTGAGTCGAATCAACTCAGCGGCAGCAAGAGGTGTCTGCAACAGTTTTGATAACATGTGGACACAGCTTATTCGGTATAATAGAAAAAAATGAGATGCTGACAGCCTGATGACAAATGGAAAACACTGTACAGGGTTCAAATTCCACCAGCTAATGTTTTTCATGAATTGCATTAGCAAGGATGTTATTTTTTGAGCAGACAAAAGGGATTGAAAAAATACAAAGAAACCCTCCACCACCACCAACACCACCACACGCAATCACAATATAACTAAATTTAATTTAGAAAAGCAAGCTATAGCTTAACAAATAAAACTGTTGCTTTTATCCTAGAATCATAGGAAAACCTTACTTAGGTAACAACACCAAGAAAACAAAACAGCAACAACTAGGTAATCATCATTGTTTAAGAAAAAGTGCTAGTGTACAGGAAAAATAATCATTTCCTATTCTTTAGAATTGTGATGTTTAAGATGTTCAGTCCACACAATTAATTTAAAATAAATGCTTTTGACACACCAGCTATTAAGATAAAGCATCCTATGTTTTTCTGTAGCTAGCTCAGTCCTGCTTCAACTAAGCAGGAACAATTATGATCAGAGGTGTCAGAAATTATGTGTGACATCGTTTCCTGGTGCCCTTTCACCATAACTTTACATTACAGTTAGAATCTTGAAATATATTCTACCCAAAGTGATTCTATGTCTATTAACAATGAAGAACAAAATTAACTGTGTATAAAGACACATTTGTTTTTTGCTGATGTTTCACTTTGAAAATAACACTTTCAATGCAAGATTGAGGAGAAATGTAAACATTTCCATCCTACTTACAAATCCAGGAATCTCACATGCGGTTTCCCGATTGTTCTGCTCTGGGTCACAGTAGATTCGCAACTTTTGGACGTCAAACTGGAATTTAAAAACCGAGTAGGATTTCAGTTGGGATGCGAGCTAATTGATTTTTACAAGTATGTAGAAATTTGATAAATCAAATATATAGAAACATCCACTCTTGTAGTACTGCTTTCAGATTTAAATCTCAGCTTTTATCTAAAGCAATAAACTTCAAAATTTGAATTCCTAAATTGAATGTAAATGTGTTATACAATATAATGTAATACCTAGAGTAAATTTCTGATTTCCTTCCAGAAAACAATGAAGCTCTTTCGGTATCCCTTTCTTAAGAACTACTCTAGATAGCACGTCATAGGGTACACAGAATCATTCACAGATAGTGTTTAGCCAAAATGTCTACACCGTCCTGACTGCCTAGGGTAGGCTCAGGGATCCTCTTTGTTTTCAGAGATTTGGGAGTTGGCCTGGAATGTTGTGGAATATTTAGTACAATTTGGCATTCAGTATTCATATATACCGGTAGTGTGTGTGTGTGTGTGTGTAGAGGGCTCTGGTGGTGAAGTCCAGCAAGCATTGACCTGGTAACCACAAGGTTGACAATTCAAACCCACTAGTTGCTTTGAAGGAAAACTATGAGGCTATCTGCTCTCATAAAGTTTTAGCCTCACGGGGTTACTATAGATATAGTGGTTACACATTGGGTTGCTAACTGCAAATTCAAAAGTTCGAAACCACCAGCTTCTGTATAGGAGAAAGAAGGAGCTTTCTAGTAAAACAATTTACAGTCTTGAAAACTCACAGAGGCAGTTCTAGCCTGTCCTATAGATGTGCTGTGGGTCAGCTGTGAGTTTGGTTTGGTTGGGGTTTGATGTTGCTATGAGTTAATATTGACTTGATGGTAGTGGGTTGTTTAGTTGCTTGGTTACATGGTTGCTTGGATGGATGGATGGATGGATGGATGGATGGATGGATGGATGGATGGATGGATGGGTGGGTGGGTGGATGGATGATATGTGTGGCATACTCTTACTGTGTGTATACATCTAAATGATCAAATTCTTCCCTTAGTGATAATAAAGCAAGAAGGACACACTTTTGGAAATAAAGGCTTTCTAGAGCAATGGCTTTCTTTAATGCAAAACTGCTCAAGTCACATAGGGACTGACTGCACATTTTTGAATTTGTAAGAATTTAATAGAGACCACACCCCAAAAATATCAAACAAAATGTTTTCAGGTCTGAGCTGAATGTAGCACAATCATTTTATTTTTAAGTGTAAGTTTTGTTTGTGAAGAGCCTTGTCAAGCATTAATCTAATTTTATCCACAAAGCTTCATAAGAAGTTTATGCAATCCCGCCCCAACTCCCATCACTGACAGTGAAACCATGTCCTCATTTCTAAATCCATTATCTTGATCTAACTTTTCTAAGAATTTTTGTTTCATAGGAATTTAGGATTATGCTGTAAACCTAGGCAAGCATTTTCTAAGTATTATTATATATTTAAATAATAATATCGATGATATTAAACATCAAAATCTGATTTTATATTTTCATGCATACGTATAGATATACAATAACACTCAGAAACTGACCTCATTTTTCATTCTTAAGGGTTCAATACAACCAGATGTGAAAAGAGAGTGACATTCTCATTTTATACAATGCAAACCAAAAAAATCATTATTTGTTCACCTGAACAGTTTCTTCTCTCCCTGAGTATTTTCCAATTTGGGTTTGTCCATTGATGAAGATCCCTAACACTGGATGTAAGGGCTTGTGTTCAATTTGTTGGTCATCAATGTACAGCGTTACATCTTGTTCTGTTACTAAGAGGCGGATTTGATGCCAGCCTTCATCAAATAATATCTAATGGAAGAAAATAGGGGCAATTCATAAACAAATTTCTTTTAAAATGTCTTTGCTTTTCTGTGTTTCCTTGTCATTAGCCATCTCTAAGAAAGACACCACAATACAGATTGGCTCTAGTCTTGTGTACTAAATCACCTTGACACAAACGGGGCTTCCCCAGCCCTTCCTTCATTCGTTCTTAGTTGACTCCGTCCCACACATCGCCAAGCAGAGTCCAACAACTCTGGAAAGCAAGTGCCTCATGATGGAGGTCCTCATCTCCAGTCTGGTTCCATTACCAGGCTGGATTTATCTTCTTACAAATATGTCTTTCTTCTATATCCTGTCGGATGTGGCAGTATATATATATATATATATATATATACACACACAAAGACAAGACCTACCTAAATTTTATATTAAATGGACTAGATTTCAAGTCCTATGCTATTTTGAGGAGACTGCAATATCTTTAAGTCTGCTGCCCTCTCAATAACTTTTCTCATTTTCCATTCTATTTTCTTCATTGCACCTTTGGCCCCTGTAGCTAGTTCATCCTTGATAATCTCACTCAATTTTCATGATTCAAGCCCAGGATGCGTCCCATTCTCTTTATCAGGTGTTCCTTCTTGCCTCTGCGAAGGATCCTTTTCTCAATGTGCCCTTTCATGAGGGCTTTCCTCAACGTCTGCCCTTGATCTTCTTCCCACAACCTCCCTTAGACAATCTCATCTGTGCTTACAGCGTAATTATTACTTCCATGTAACAATTTATTTGTCTCCTGGATTTGTCACCTGTGTGTGATACCTGAAATTCTAACACTGGCTAGAATATTTTTGGCAGGAAGTACCATAATCAGCCTGACTTGTGTCAATGAACCTGAAGCATTCCCCAAATATTCTTCCTTTTCCTAATAACATCTTCAGTTTCTAAAATAATATCAAGTTTCTTTATCTCCTTCCCTTTCTTAAGTTCCAGGAACAGATTCAAAGTTTTACCGAATTTCTTTCTTAAACGACTCAAATTCACATACCCATTCACAACTCATTTCTATAATTTAGTGTCATGGATATTTGCCTTTATTTTAACTAATTTTGATTTTTTGTTCCTCTCTGGCCTTTACTTCTCCAAGTTATCTTTCATAACTCCATTAAGATTAAACTCTATCATCAGGGTTTTTTATCAAGATTAGTCTTATCAATTTTTAGAATATCATTAATTTCTCTATCACCAGAACTGATCACAAATCCAGAGCTGAGTCGACAGTGGAGTTACAAGGAAGAGAGAACTGCTGCGATTTTGACACTCCTATGACAAGATCTTTAATGAAGCCCTTCTCTCCTCCACTGAACAAGCCCCACATCCCTTTGTATGGCTTCCCAGGCCAGTGCAAACGGAACTCACACAGGCTAGCCCTTTCTTGTGTGCCTTTCATACCCCGAAAGTAGGAAACACCACTTGACATGCTAGAAACAAAAAACCCTGCATTTCAACACAGTAATGATTGCTCAATACTGAAGCACTCGTTTAAAATGACCTTAGCTCACTGGGTCAAAATCCTTCAGTCTAACCAATTTCACCTCACTGAGGTGGACCTTCTAATTTTATGTTTGAGTCCGTGTTCTCCTCCCCACTCCACGCACTTTGCCGTTCTATTGGTTACTACTCGCCTGAGGCCGCTCATTATAAATAAGTTCCTTTAAGGGATCAGCCTTAATCATCTGTCATTTCTTACAGGAAACCCTCTTTAGTCATCTGTCATTTCATAGAGGAGCTAACACATTGTCTTTAATGAAAGTGATAGGCAACAAGTGTTTATTTAATTTAATGTGATTACCAAAGGAATAAATAGCATAAATGCTTAATTTGTATATATAACCATAAGCAATTCTTAAACTATAAAACATAAATTTCTGTCATAATTATAATAATGAGCATTGTTTAATTGACCTTGTCATTAACTCTGTATTATGAATATATAACCCAGGAAATATGCTTTCACTTTTATTTCATCTAAATATGTCCTAATTAACATAAATTCTGTATCCATAATCAAGCTTAATTTCATAAGCTAAAGATATGTCTTTATTCAATATGTTAGGATGTGGCAATGTAAAAAAAGACCTACCTAAATTTTAAATCAAATAGACTAGATTTGAAGTCCCAATATTATCACTCCTTTGCTATTTTGAGAAAATGGATATATCTTTAATTCTGTGTTCTTTGTCAATATAATTCACTCAAAATTATTAAATTTATGCTAGTTCCTCTCACCCTTCATCCCCTTTTGTATTTGGAAAGACTTTATTTGTTGCTGTTTTTCAGTAAATCAACATTAAAATGTGAACTCATCTTTTCATTCATATATTGTAGCTCTCTTCCCACAAGAAATATGAACCCCAAAGTATTTTCCACATAAATACTAAAACCATATTCAAGCATCTTTACCTTAACTCTAGGGTCAGTAAAGGTGACCACTTGGGTATTATTAATTATGCTGGTTGTTGTAAACAATAAGGTTTTATCCACACCATTCAAAGTGACTGCCATTTGTGGCCTTCCATCAATGGTTAAAATTCTCCATAAATCCCATATTTTCTTAACCTTAAATCTCTGAGTTGACACAAATACATATGATGGAGGGAGGCCTTCTGGGAAAACATTGCTGCAAGGAACAAACAGGAAAAGAATGCCTGTAAACTTTCAACATTCTTAACAGATCCACACAAGTATCAAAATAAATACAGTCAAACCCCCAAAGTTATACCAACCTATCACATTTACCTTGTGAATTCTGATAAATCCACCTTTGATGTTACTTCATAGCCTTTTATCTTCGTCAGTGAGAGCTGGATTCTTTTCTTAACCTTTTTCTTTACACCCAAGCCTAGGAGTATATCAAATCCCTTCTCATCTCGAGCTGCTACTGGAATTCGTGTTGGACAAACAGATTCTAGGAAGTAAAAGCAAAAACAGTGAGAATTGGTTAATTATGAATTATTCCAACAAAAAAAATCAAGGGGTAAATACTGGAGAATATAAGAATTTTTTGTCCTTTATATATATAGATATAGATATACAAAATCTTTGAGTATAACATGGGAGTGTTTCAGGCATTAGGGAACAAAGTCAATCAATTGTTGTTGTTTTTTCCTCTGAAAATAAAGGCAAAACAAAAGATATAAGACAATTATGATTATTCCACTGTTTTAAAGGCAATACCAAGTTGAAGTATCACTGCCTTGAATATGAAGCAATCTATCAGTAGGAAGAGCAGAGAGAAGGGAAACCCCTTGAACAGGATTCCAGATTCTCACACATGTTCTGCTGTTAATAAGTACGTGACCTTGGAGAATTATGAAGCTTCTCGGATCTAGGATATTAATTCTACAGTTCTTTTCTTGCATTATAACATGAGAGGTGGAAACATGCTTGTTATCCTTAGTATTCTTTCAATTAATAATTCTACAGCTCAAGTATCATCACTTCTATTATTCTGGAAAAAAACATCACCTTGTGTCTTATCTCTACATAAAAGTTGAGCAAATGAGCTTATTATATATTAGCTTAATTATGTAACATGATATTACATTAAGTACATTTAGAAATAAGGCAAGATTCTTTTCCTTAAGTTGAGATATTAAGGTTCCCATTATACAGTCATCTATATGTTATAAAATATCACATATTTTATGCTTCTCTGGGACACTAATGCCTCAAATTATGTGGAAATTTTATACACAATTTCTAGTAACCTGTTACATAGTAAAAATGTTACAATGATTTCAGATTTTTCCAAGGCGCTCATATAAATTTACACATTGAGCAGGACTGTTTATGTTTTATAGAGTAAGTAATAAATGAAAATAACAAATTCTCCACAAACTATTCTGCAAGATAACTACCCTCCTCAGAAAACATGAAGGAGTCAGGAAAGGACTGTATTTGTAATACAATAAATAGTAAATCTTTCTAAAAGCAGATTGCTCCATCTTTCCCCTGCAGGGCAGCTGATGGGTTTGCACCTCTTGATGGTGCCATTCCCACTGAAGATGGTCACACCAATCCATTGCAGCTTACTAATGCCTAAGCTAGACCTGCGCTCCATTTCCTAGATTCATACTTCATACATGCCACAATCTGATTATTAGACAATTTTTGCAGCTGTTTCTTCTCCATTTTGAGTCATTTCCCATCAACAAATGAAGGTCCTGAAGGCTTACTCCCATAGGCTTGATTCCATTCATATCCCTATGGCTGACTCTGCTTTGAGAAGCCAATTCTTTCTCCGTCACATTTGGAGTGCACTCTGACCTGAGGGGCTCATCTTCTGTCGCCATCTCTGAAAAAGTTCTGTTTCTACTCATTAGTCCTTCAGTATCTGACAATGTTTGGGTGCGGTCCATTGGGTTTTTGGTAGCTAATTCCTCCAAAGTGGACAGCCTATTCCTTCTTTTTATTGTCTGTCCTTATACTGGAAGCTCTGCTACAAACTGTTCACTTTGGGTGACTCTGCAGGTATTTGAAATATCAGGGATGTAGCTTCCAACATCAGAGCAAACACACAAGCCCCCACAGTACAGCCAACTGATAGGCAAGTGATGAAGCTCCATGCTTAGACAATTATGAAAGGGACGTAACTTTGATGGGCTAGGGAGTTGGGAGGGCTGCTGATGGTGAAGGCACTCAGAAGAAGTCTTGGGCATCATTCCCAGACAAAAGGTACACTTTCCAGAAAGGAAGGTATCTTCCAGAAAGGAAGAGAAACTCCAATGATCCACGCGGTCTGGCAATCTGTCTATCAAGCTTTCTCTTTTGTTATGAGTGAGAGAAGATGCACTTTATTACTATTAAAAGTAAGTATGTTACCACAAAACACGATACCAAAAACCAAACTCCCTGCCATGAAGTCGATGCCTGCTCCTGGTGACCCTCCAGGACAAGGGAGAACTACCCTGGTGAGTTGCCAAGACTGGAGCTGTTCAGGGGAGCAGGAAAGCCAGTCTTTCTCCCAGGAAGAGGCTGGTGGTTTCAAACTGTGGACCTTGGTGTTAGCAGCCCAACTCATAACCACTACATCACCTAGACTCCCACCACAAAACAAACTCACTTGAAAACTTAAAAGAATTACAATAAAATAGTATATAATTATTTTTATCTCCTCTAGAGATTTTAAAAGAAAACCTAATCTAGTACAAAACATCAAGTGCAAACTTCATCAGGTATGCTGATGAAAAATTATTTGGAAAAGGGAGTTGGGATAAAGAGGGGGGAGGTGGGAATAGGGAAAACAAAAATAATTTGCATAAGCATTTCACACACATAACAGAAAGTTACTCAAACCTGTATTTTTGACAACATCAAGAAGAGTTATTATACAGTGTAGGCCAACCTTCCCCTGCTTCACAAAATGAAAAACATAGACTCAAAAAAGCTAAATCTAAGGTTGCACAGTTCATTGGAACCAGGTGTAGCCCTGGACCTACTTCAGCAAGGCTACACCATACACTCTTTTAAGAAATATGAAACTTCCTGCATCAGTCCAAAGTCAAGGTACTGGGAAATGAGTCAGTAAGAACACTCGGGCAGTTTTCTAGAACTTGTTCTCTAGTGGTCTACACCTTTGTGCAGATGAATTCAACACATTTTTAATTAGAATGCTACTCCTAACACCCAGAACCCTGGTCACAGTTTGCTGGAAATCTCTGAAGAGTCCTAAGGAAGGTATACTCCAGGGGACAAGGGACTAAGAGAGAATTGCTCTCTTTTTCCTCTTCACCTTTTCCACGAAGTCCATTCCAGGTTGACTGTAAAGAATCAGGAAGAAAACTGAAAGAATAGGCAGGCTGAACAGATAAGCTACTCATCACAAAAATGGGGGTCCTGAGATAAATCAATCAGTCCCTGATGATGAACTGAACTGTGTACCAACAAGCAGGTCAATAATATTTTATCTGTTTGGATCAACCACAGAAGATAATAGTGAATGATATTCACTCAAAAATCCAATACCATGGTGTCAATTCCAATTCATAGTGACACTCTTAGGATATAGTAAACCTACATGTTAACTTCTCAAAACAGAAGATAATTATTTGCCACAAAAACAAACACCAGTCTACTAAATGATTCAAATAGAAATTACAGAATTTTAGGCAATTATTGTGTGTCAGTGAATTAACCATAATCTAATATAATGCAACACATCAAATGCAAATAAATTCATCTATTCCATAAATACAATTTCAAGAGTAAGATTATGGTGATTGTGCACCATATCAATAAACTGAAGAGACACAGACCTCCTTTGTATTCTTTCTGTTAGTAAAGATCAAGAAATATTTAACAAAATTTCAAGTTTGAATTTTTTTGAAGATTTCACAATTTATATGAATAAATATCCTTTTCAAATATAGGTGGCTCTTCATGTGTAATTACAAGTTTTAAACTAAGGAGAATCCGTTTGCTAAAGTGCACATCTACAGAAAAAGGCTCTGAAGGACTACTTGGGCAGACACAGTTAATAAATAAAATGTGTACTTTACGATAAAAATTATTCTTACATGAAACTTCACCACGAAAAATCGTTTTAATCGTAATGTATACTTGGATCAAAATAAAAAGTTCTACCTAATTTGACAACATATCAACCATATGTCCCTTTGACATTTGACATGCTCAGGGTTTTAAAAGTCTATCCAATCTTATTTCCAGACAGTCACAGGAAGAGTAGCTGTTCTAAAAACTTGTTATATAGTACTTTATAAACATTTGATTAAAGAAAAAGGTCAATTTCCCATACTCTCTTAAATAAAATTTCTAAAATAAAATAAGCTTTAAAATGTTTCTCTCTACCATTTTCTCCCAAACAAATATGAAGGTAAATAGTGGAGTTTGTTTTATAATCATAACACCGAAGAATATTTCCACCAAGTGTAAACTAATCTATACTTTAGGGCTTTGGGGTAAGTAAACTGGAGGAAAAAAATGACTCATTTATATAAATAAAGACATTCCAACTAATAGAGTTCTAAATATCATAATATTAAAAATAAAAGATATAATTTATTATTTTTTGTTAGGTACCTTCAAGTCATTTCTGACTCATACCATAGGACAGAATAATACTGCCCTATATAGTTTTCAAGGCTGTAATTTTTACAGATGCAGACTGCCACACATTCGTCCAGTGGGTTCAAACCACTGACCTTTTGGTCGAGAGCTAAGTGCTTAACCACTGCCCCACCACTGTTCCTAATTACTCTTCCCCAAAACAATTTAGTCATAAGCATGCCTGTTCCCTAAAGAACACTGTTTGGGAAACAATGAGACTTTCCCAAACAATGACGTTATCATGAACATGAAGTTATATTTCATAGAAAGATATAAACATAATATAATAGTCTGCTAACTTCTGGGGTTTTTTTTCACTACTGGTGAGTGTAATGTTTAACATGTTTCCAAGTCTTAAACATATTAGTAATGTAAACCTTTTCTTCTGGATACTGGTTTGTTTGTTTTTCTTAAGAAATAATGAGTGATTCTCATTCAGAATTGTGTACAAAGGATATGCAATGTTATTTATCTTAACAGAACTTAGAAATAAGCTAACTGTAGGAATTATCCAAGATATGGTTAAATGAATTATGCCATGTTCTATTGATAAACAATAAACTTTACAAGTTATGTTTTCAAAGAATATTTGATGATATAGGAGATGGTCTGTTATCATGTTAATAGGGAACAAATATTTCATATTCAATAATATCAGGAGATATCAAATAATATACACAACATTATTCTGATGTAGGAAGATATATCAGACACACTAAATAAAATATAAAAACTAATTAAAATCACCGATCTGTTGACAGAATTGATACCATTATATAAGATCTATAAGTTTGTATATTTTAATTCTTTATGCATCTCTTCATTTTCTACCATCTCCACAATAAATATGCATTTTAAAAAAGAAATGACAAATGTAACAAAATAATAAACTTTCCAACTTTAGATTTTAATTCCTTCTAAGATCAAACTTATCTAGATTAAATGTGACAAATTTGTGCTCACTTCGATTCTAATATTAATATAATTTCACATTCAATATAGCCATGCACACCAAGGTAAATAAACATAACAAGATTTAAGAAACGTTTTAAAATTATGCTGACTGACCTTCACAGAGTTTCTGCTTCATCACCTCTCTGATTTTGGATATTGCAATATAGTCCTCCACGTAAAACACGTAAGTAGATGAAGGCTTGTTGGCAATCGCTCTCAGTTCTGCATCTTCTGTCTCTGAACCAACGCCGATGGCAAATAATGTTATCATACTGTCTCGTGCCGCCTCTGCTGCATCCTTGACTTCATCCTGAGATTTGCCATCAGTCAGCACCACCGCTATCTTCGTCAGAAATCTTGAGGACTTGGCAAAAAGGTAATCAAGGGCAAACTGGATGGCCTTTCCAGTCCTTGTGTTTCCTCCCAAGTAATGTATGGACTCCATGGCAGCTACCAAGTTCGCTCCTGAGTCATGACTTCCAAGTGGAATCTCAAGTACAGGGTAGTCACTGTACTGAACAACTCCAACTTGAATAAACTTTGGTCCAATGTCAAAGTTTTTTGTGATATTGACAAGCCACTTTTTCACTATTTCAAAGTTGTCTGGGCCAACACTGTAAGAGCCGTCTAAGATGAAGACTAAGTCCGTTGGAGCCGTGCGACAACCTAGGACGAAAATGTGGGAGATCTTAAATGATGGCTTCAAAGCTAGCCACAAACAGCATGGTGATCAATGAAATGTGTTTATTTTAATGCTAATCTGACATATATATGAAAAAAGGTAAAACAATCAATAGGTAAGAAATTTAAAACATATATCTGCAAATTTCAGGGCTCAACTCGCTAATAAAACTATTTACTCTCTGATATAGCTGATAGAAATTAAATGAACAAAAACCACTAAAGAACTACATCCAAAAAGAATGTTTGGAAACTGATTGTGGTGTAAATTGTACGGTTCTGTTTGACATGATTGAACTATGGAATGATATAATATATGTATTAACTCCTAATTAATAATAAATTTTTAACTCAGGGTAAGCCCCCCAATAAATAAATAGAGATTCTACAGGTCTTTATCTCACATCCTGAGGGTTAATACAACAATTAAAACATGGACTTGTGCTCAGTAAACCTGTTTGTTTGTTTGCTTGTTTGTTTGTTTGTTTGTTTTGAGGGTTGTGTATAGATAGATATGAGATAGTTTGTTTGTTTGATTGTTTGTTTGTTTGGTTTGAGGGTTGTGTATAGATAGATATGAGATACTTTCAAAATGTAGGAAAAACTGAGTAAGCACATCCTAGAGCTCTGTTGGAAAAGAGACTATCCTCAGCATGCGTCATTCCTAGTCCAGGTCAAAGCAGTTGCATAAATAAAAAGAAAATCAGAATTTAATCCTCTTTTTTTACAGTACCCACAGCATGCATCGAATCTGAGTTTATTATTTGATCCATGCTTTTGGTCTACAAATTGAGTCCTAATTCTGCACCTAACATCATAGTTGGCAGTGGGTCCAAAGACTCATAAAATATTTAAAATATTTCTGTCTAGTAAGACAGACAACTGGCTTGTTAAGAAAAAGCACAAAATACGAGGACACTTAGGAGTGCGCGTCCAGTCTAGCAAGACAAATTTGGGAAATGGTGGGTGGAAAAATCGACAGGTGATCTGAAGAGAATGGACACTCTATTCAGAGGGAGGAGAAAAGAAAAGCAACAGACAATAATACTCGGAGACAGAGTTGGAGTGAAACCTCACCTCGTCTATTTAGGTAATTCCAATAGTTTGGATATGCAACAGAATACATGAGAAGAAATAGCTACAACTGCCCTTAGTGGTAATTAAGAATTTTTAAATCTTCTTAAAATAGGAACCAATCAATCAATCAATAATCAACCACCCCCTTTGTTCTTTCATTTTATCTATGCTACTTAAATATATGGGATGTTGAGGCTCATTTGAAAGTTTCCAATTTTGCACTTACCAAAATTCACCCATCATACCCCAATGAAAATTTGAAAAAATGTTAAGTGTTACACACACACACACACACACATATATATATATAAACAATAACTGGCAAAACATGGATTTTTCACAAAACTGCAACTGTAATGCTGACGCTAGTCCGGAGGTGAGCGATGGAGAACTTGAAGGATGCGAGTTCAGAGTCTCTGCCATAATCCCCACCACCAGCCCTCAGGACAGGACAACAAATGTGGAATTCTGCCCAGAGACAAATTTTCCAGTTCAATTGAGTTTGATCCTTCTGTTATTTCTGGAAGCTGGAATGGGATTATAGGGTTACATTTTTTTTATTGGCACTTGTAGGAGAGAGAAAAATAGCATAGAAAAAAAAAATATTTGTAGGGCTTGTCAATGTTGGCTCTTCCCAAATACTATAAGACTTATTGTTGTCTAGACCTGCTCATATTTGCTTGTGACCAGAACCATGGTTATAAACTCTTACAGGGTTATTCTTGGCCAACTTGCCCCTCTTCCTGTCTCAGAGTCACACAGCGTATATTTCATAACTAAGTTAGCCAAGAGCATGAAGGTTATCCAAGAGCATGGGCACGAAAGCAAAGTTTGCCATTTATAAAACCCAGACTAAAAAAAAAAAAAAAACTTCTCCAGGAGAACTCCTCCTTAGAGAGATGAATAGTGTCACTGCAAAGGAATGGAATCAAAGAGCAAAAGCAGGGTTTGAATACTAGTTACAGCTCTCATCAGCTGAATGGCACTAGGCGAGCCCCTTAAATTTTGTGACTGTCTTTTCCCTTTGAAAAATCAGAAAATACTATGTACAAATGCGCTTTACATAATTGATGTATGTATGGATTGTGATAAGAAGTGTATGAGCCCCTAAGAAAATGATTAGAAAAGAAAAATCAGAAAATACTATCTACTGAATTGAAACTCTACCTTGGAGAGTGCTTGGGTGGATTGAACTACTATTGTTTATATTTAATGCAACATTAAATATTTACCTTTTCTAATATAGCTTAAGCCAATCTGAATCAAGCTATCGAACCACTTGTCTTATTTTTAAATAGAAACCATAGTTAATTTACAGTAGGTATAGAATAAGGACTCACTGGCATCAAGTCAATTCAGACTCAGAAAGTCCTATGAGAATGGAGAACTGTCCTTGTAAGCTCGTGAGACTGGCGTGGGGGGAGAGTCTTGTCTCACCTCCTGAGGAACAGCAGGGGGTTCCAAACTGTGACCTTCCCTTCAGCAGCCCCACAAGGAACCACTAAACCAGCAGGTTCTTTAATGTGTGGAAAAGCAAAGTTTAAGAACTAGAGTATGCCTAACCAAAGCCATGGCATTTTCAAGCACCTCAGCTGCATGTGAAAGTTAGACACAAAATAAGGAAAATTAAGTGCATTTGAATGCTAACACTGGCAAAGACTACTGAAAGTACCATGAACTGACAAGAACACAAACAGATACGTCGTGGAGGACATACAACCAGAATGCTACGTAGAGGCAAGGACGAGAGACTTTGTCTCACATACTTTGAACATGTTATCAGCAGAGGCCAGTCCCTGAAGAAGGACATCATGCTCGGTAGAGTGGAGGGGCAGTGAACCAGAGAAAGGCTCTCCATGGACTGGATTGGCACTGGCTGCCACACTGAGCTCAGGCATAAGAACAGTGGGGAGGAGGGTTGTTGTCCATAAATTTTTGATGAGTCATTAATGAATGGACAGCACCTCGCAGTAGTTAAGAGATGAGGAGGCTTCGCAAAGTGCATGGAAAAGGAAATTATGAGATAACAATTTTCCCACAACTTTTTGAAACCCCCCATATAGACTTATAACTTGTAAAATCTGAATATAAGGAAACTTTATCTCAAAGTATGATAGGTGTAGTTAATCTCTGGGTAGCAAAATGACAATTCATCCAAGTTCTCATTTCTGATGCAGTCTTCCCTACAGGCAATAGAAAAATATGCATCATACACTGAGATATCATTGTGCTAAATCACTCATTTACATTATTTCATGTTAATAGCCTAACCACCCCATGAGGCAGGTGCTTTTTTTTCACATGCATCTAATAGAGGCAAAATCTGAGACTCAAAGAAACAAAAGTAATAAACACAAGGTAATTCCAGTAAACAGGGAGGCACTTAATCCCAACATGTTTATTCCAAAATTTAAGGCTTAATTAATAGATTCCTATTAGAGAGTTTCTGTATATACTCGTGCATAAGCTGAGTTTTTCGGCAGATTTTTAATGCAGCTTTTGTGGTAAAATTAGGTGCCTCAGCTAATATTCGGGTCGGCTTATACTCAAGCATATACGGTATATCAAAATTACCTCTGGAACTCTTTCGTGGTAGTTAATGAATAACATGGCAATACATTATTTTAGGGAATGAGGGCATCAAAGATAATGAGGACAACATCCTTAAATCATTTGAATTCTGCCCATTTGATTTCCAGGATGCTAATGTAGAAGGACAATGCTAATAATTCTTACTTGATCTAATTTCTTCATCTTCAGCTAATGCAGAATTCTGAAGAAGCAAGACCAAAACTGTCCAAACAAATGTTATCTGATGAGTCATGTTTCTGTTCCTGTTGCAATATTTGGGTTTCAGGATTCCTAGAATTAAAAAAAAAGCAGGACAGTTAAGTATATTAACCAAAGAAAGACAAACTGCTAGACTTTTTAGTTTACATGATAGCCATAGGATTATTCTTAAGATTATTTTAGATGTGTCCAAAATAGCCAAATACTGAGTTTATTACACAAGACACTCAGGAAAGGGTCTGAAGAAGACCATGAGATCTCTTAATTCATAATTTCCTTGGAAAAACATTTTCTTTAACACGTGGACTCCATTTGGCATGGCCTATTGCATTCCTTTAAATATCTCAGTGGTAGCAAAGAGTGTTCCTTTAAATATAGATTTGCATTTAAGAAACACTCAATGGTTATCTGGTAAAGAGATGTGCATGGTACTGGTGAATGCTTGGCTTAGTTTTTAAAATGAGGTCTGATTACAAAGCATTGCAACCTCTTTAATTCATAAACCTTCAGTTACATAACTTTAATGTGTCTTTTTAAAATCAGAGAATGTAGAAAGTTACAAAAGATCGTCACTCCCAACAATGAAAACATGCCACATAAACTACAAATCATGGTCTTTTTAAACCCAGTTGAAAGCAGAGAATTTAAAGAAACCTAAATGAACTAAATTCCGAAAGTTATGAGCCCTTTGTAGGAGAGAAGAACTTCACAGCTGCTTTCATGCCTGGGCAGAAGGCAAATCCTCCCCAGCAGCAAGAGGAATTTGCCGTAGCCTGGAGCAAAGAGAACCCCCAGGAAGGCTGTGTGAGAGACTGAAATGCTGAGAAGCCCAGCCACACAGCAAGTATTGCTCCACTCAACCACTCTTCCACAACACGCCATAAGTGATTATAGGATGTAGACAAAGTGACAATAGATAAAAAGATGGAACAAGGAAGAAAAGCCTAGAGTTGCCCTATTTTTCTTCTTGTATTGGGTATGCAGTGGGCTGCTAACCGCAAGATCAGCAGTTCAAAACCACCAGTTGCTCCCCAAGATAAAGATGAGGCTCTCTACTCTCATAAAGAGTCATCCTTTTGGAAACCCACAGGAGCAGTTCCACCCTGTACTACAGGGTCGCTGTCAGTCAGACTTGACCCTGTAGCAGGGAGTTGTTTTATATCAGGTCCCCAGGGCCTTCCTCATACACAAAGTGGCTTGTTGAAGGGTCATAAAAATGGGATGGGTGCGGCTATCAAAAAGTATAGCATCTGGGGTCTTAAAGGCTTGAAGGTAATCAAGCAGCCATCAAGCTCAGAAGCAACAAAGCCCACATGGAAGAAGCACACCAGCCTATGCAACCACGAGGTGTCGAAGGGATCAGGTGTAAGGCATCATCAGAACAAAAAATCTTACCATAGTGAATGATGGGGGGAGTGCGGAGTGGAGATCCAAAGCCCATTAGTAGGCCACTGGAGATCCCCTTGCAGAGGGGTCTCGGGGAGGAGATGAGCCAGTTAGGGTGCGATGTAACAATGATGAGAAATACAACTTTCCTCTAATTCCTAAATATTTCCTCCCTGCTCCCACTACCATGACTCGAATTCGATCTTGCAAGTCTGGCTAAACCAGAGGAGGTACACTGGTACAGATAGGAACTGAAAATATAGGGAATCCAGGACGGATGAGCCCTATAGGGCCAGTGGGGTGAGTGACAAAACAGGGAGGGTAAAGGGAGAATGGGTAGGAAAGAGGGAACCGATTACATGGAACTGTGTGTGACCTCCTCCCTGGGGGACAGACAACCGAAAAGTGGGTGAAGGGAGACGTTGGACAGGGCAAGATATGACAAAATACCCATTTATAAACTATCAAGGGCTCATGAGGGAGGGGGGAGCGGGGAGGGAGGGGAAAAATGAGGACCTAATGTCGGGGGTTTAAGTGGAGAGAAAATGTTTTGAGAAACAATGTACAAATGCGCTTTACACAATTGATGTGTGTATGGATTGGGATAACAGTTGTATGAGCCCCTAATAAAATGTTTAAAAAAAAAAAGTGGGATGGCTGAAAATACTACTCCGCAGGCTACCAGCCCTTCACTGGAGTGGCAAGATATATTTCTCAATACCAGGGGAAACCTGGAGATAAAAAATAGGACTCCCCACTAATCAAAATATTAGGAACCTGACTTAACAATTGAAATAAATTCCAAGATATGACAACAAGAAAGTATCTGTGAGCAGCGTAAAGTCTATCTCACCTGCCTCGCCTCTAGCGAATGAGCCTCTAAAGAATATAGGAATATATGCCACCTTCTTAAATTAAAAAATTTCATCTATTAATAAGAAATATCTCTTAATGAATAATAGAAGAGAAATTACTTTTACCAGAATGTAGGAACACACGAATTTAAATTGAGCTCACCTGTTACTGTGGAATACAAAATACACACTAGAAAAAATTATGCACCACACAATCCAGGTTATACACCAAATAACAACACTAATTTAATCATAGAACATTACTCTCATTGATTTCTAATGCTTAAATAAAGGGAAATGTATCCGGTGATAATCTCTAAACTCGTCAGTTATAGAAATAATGACTTCACAAGATTACTGTGATAATGATAAATTTTCATTTACAAAGTTCTTTCATCGGTATTATATCATTACAGTAATTATTTGAAAATGTTGAAGAAAATAAGGCTTATATTTCCAAATAATTAATGAAATAGTACAATAGTGAATAATCATGGGCCAGGATTCTCAGTGGTTTGGCTGTTAACCCCTAGTAACACCATGACTTGACCTAACATCGAATCAGTTGTAAACCTCCATAACGGGAAAAGAATAGGGTGGAATGCAACACCCTTACTGAAATCACAATTTTGGTGTGGATTGTTTCTAGTATAAGTGGATCCTTTAGGAAGGCTTACTGTGTCTGGATCCTGCATCTGACTCGTAACTTCAGGTTCTGTGGACTTGAGACAATTGCCTGATATATGGCCTGCCGACCCAGGAGATATTTGTAGCCTGTCACGTGGTTGTCCAGCTTTGGATTCATTCACTTTTCCGGTCACATGCCTGACCTGCTGATCTTGGGTTCATCAGCCTGAGCACTACATATGAATCAAATTCTGTATGGGTCAAATTCTTGATATAAATGTCTATCTATATATACATATATAAGCATCACCGATTTTGTTCTCTAAAAAGCCCAACCTATGACACAAGTAATGTGACCTTCCTGTTGTATCCACTCAACTAAGTGATGGAACTAAACTTTAAATCCAGTTTCTCTGGCTCTAGAATTTTCCCTACTATATCTTACTCAACAACCAACATTGATTGAGTGCCTACTCTGTGGTAGACAGTCTTTTATGTTCTTGGATTTCAGGACTGACCCAGACAGACAAGGAACCTAAGACCAAGTAGTTTACATTCTGAGAACTTGACAATCAGTCAAAGGAGGCAAGTTTACATTCTGAGAACTTGATAATCAGTCAGAGGAGACATTGATAAGTACACCATCTAATTGGGGTAAGAGGAACAAGAAGGGGCAGAAAAGGAAGATGGTTCCCATATATGTGCATGTCAAAGAAGACCTCTAGGAATGGTGGCTTTGAATGAGATTTGAGCAACTTCAAGAAACCACGTTTGCTCTGTTGAATAACTTTTCTTTCTGAAGAAAGGAGGTTTGTCAAACATCAGAAACATAATCTGTGAAACTTGAGCATGGACGCAAGAGGTAAAAATGGCGGGAAGTAAACATGAAGAAATCAGATTCACGTGTAGAATGCTATCAGTGATGTTAAGCTTATAATTTTTCCCTACATGCCGAGTGAACCCATTGAAGGGTTTAAAGCACAGAACCATCATGATCTGGTTTTCAGATCCAATATATACGCACATTGAAAACCAAAGAGCTCTATAAATTTGAAGGGTTTATGTGATTTTTTAGAAGTGGCAAAAAGAGATGAACTGATCAATTAGTACTTTTTTGTCTGTCACACAACTTCAATTTCTTTCATTTTTGTATCCTATTCTAATAGCATGTCAGTAATATTGCATTAATGTTAAAATAGCTGCTTGTAAGTTTCTCCAAGCAGTGGATACAAAAATAAAAGCAAATTCCTGTCTTTTGTAATAACGTATCTGTCAGTGGGTAAATAGGAAAGGATGTGAGTTACCATGATAAGCCTTTGGAAATGAAATTTTTAAAAAAACTTTCTAAATAATTACTGTGAGGGGGAAAAAATGTCATTTCAAATTTTGGTTGATGTGCTTTGCTGTCAAGGTTCTGTGTTTGACAGACTGCAGGATAACTGAAGTGTTGGCATTTTGAACGTGTCAGCCACTAGATGGGAGAAAGATATGGCAGCCTGCTTCTGAAAAGATAATGCAAGCTATGTATGAAAACCAACAGCCAATGTGGTAATCAATGGAGAAAAGATGAAAACAATTCCACTGAAAAAGAGGACCGACAAAGATGCCCCTAGTCCCCACTCATGTTTAACATTGTACTGGAGATCCTGGATAACAACATAATACAAAGGGAGAACATCAAAAGTATTCATCGGGGGAAGGAATAGGCAAAACTATCACTAAAAGCAGATGATATGATTTTTATATACCGAAAATCCCCAAAACTCCACATGTTGAGTATTGGAAGTGATAGAAGAATATGGCAGAGTAGCAGGATACAAGAAAAACACACAGAATTCTGACGGACTGATATACACATCAGACAAGATCACAGAAGAGGCAATTAAAAATTTTTTTGAAGAGGCAATTAAAAAGCAATTACAATAGCCAAGCACAAACTGAAAGATCTAGAGATATACCTGACTGAAAGAAACAAGAGATTTGTATGAGGAAAACTACAGAACACTACTACAAGAAACCAGAGTGACCTCAACAAATAGAAGAATATCCCATGCTCGGGGATTGGAAGACGCAATATAGTAAAGATGTCAGTTCTGCCCAAGGCACTATATAAGTTTAATACTAACCTGATACAAATGCCATCATCCTTCTTCAAAGAATTTGAAAAACTGACTACCAACTTCATATGGAGAGGGAAGAAGCCCA